GTCGGAGCGTTCATCACCTCGTAGTAGAACACGGCATGGTTCAGGGCCAATCCAAGACGAAAGGGGCTGGTCACCTTGAGCGAAGTCTCAGCCACTTTGGTCCCATCTTCATATGCTGCTTTTGCAGCTGTTGTAGCTCTCGTTCGGTCCATGTCATCACTGATCTCAGCCATGTACCTGTAGTAGTCACCCTGCGCTTTGTAGTAAGAGACTTTTGCCTCGGCTGTGGTAGCACCGGGGATCAATTTGTCCGTGAGCAAGGCAAGGATGGTTTGGCTAAGGTTCGTGAGCTCTCCTTCAATCTTCTTTCGGTAGCCTCGTGCACTGGCGGTGGTCATGTGGTTTCCTTTCGCCTGCTCTTCTTGCTCGGCAGCACAAACTATGCGCCAAGCACATCTTCGCTGGCCAATCGCTTGCTTGAAAGCAACTGCCAACAGATTTCTCTCTTCAGCATCTAGCTCTTGTTCAAACAAGGCGGCTGCCTTCATATGTTCCGCCATCTCATCATAGCGCTCGGCCTGCTCCGCCAAGGTCGCAAAGTAGACCTCGTGCTCCCGGATCACTCCATCCATCTCCGTCATGGTCGACGGAGACCAAAAACCTCCACGAGACCTCCGCGCTCAACTGGTCGGCTCAACTTTGAGCCTACGATGCGACAAAACAATTCGCAAACATGTCAACAAACTTGACGGGGTCACTCAAATGCTTGCTCTGACCAGGCTGTCTGAGAATTGCCAGTGATATCCAATGAAATGGTCCTTATCATACAGCTCTATCGGAACTCTTCCAAGGAAACATGTAACTCACGCTTGTGTTTGTGGTCGGTTCAATCGATTCAATCCAACGTCTTCGATTTCGATTCCAGGCAAAGTCTCCCGCATCTGGAATGCAACTGGCCCGAGATCCCGAAGCTTTGCGCAGGCGCAACGTGCCTGCATGTGAGTCGAATGTTGACTGTCCTTGCAGCCCATGAAGGTGGCTGGCATCTGGCGTGAAGTGAAAGTCAACGAGGCGTGTCCTTCCCCTGTTGGTTGACGCGAAATCAAAAGGAAGCGCTCCCATAGCACACGTTTCACTGAGACAATAAGTGTTGTTCAATCAAATGGTTGTTTGTTCAGTCATCAACCAACAAGACATTCACTACGACGCTGTATGACACTGCGAGGCTATACCAGCAGATTAGAATTGTATGAATTTGTTGGGAGGCGGACGGAGCGGGAATGTGTGGGACATTGGTTGACTTGTGACATAGATTAACTATGTACATTGGAGAGGTGCTCAAGAAGCAGAAAAATTAGACTCTGTTGTTGGCCCACACTCGTCGCCCCGTCCATTGACTGCTTTCCTGTCGAATCGCAGTAGAGATAAGCCTCCCCTTGCCTCGTTGTAAAAGTCATGCGCTGTCCTGCCAGAGTCATGGCACTTGGCATCACTTACTAGTAACAAGAAGCTACTAGGTGGAATCGCTAGCCGCTATTGGCTGGTGATAGCAGCGAATCAACGCCCCAATCAGGCGCCACGTTCATCTCATCGGTCTTCACCGGTCCTCTTGCCCGGCTCGAAGCTCATGACGAAGCGATGGCTCTTGAGGGTAGTGTGCCCAAAAGGACAACACCTGAAGTCCAAGCCCCACAGCTTCACAGGTTTCGACATGTTTCGACTGCGACCGACTACCACCGATGGAACTGGTGGCGACTGCTGGCTGGAACTTCACCTTCCCAACCAGGACACTCAGCCATCAGCAGCCGGTGCCCATCAACGCGCAGCTCCAAAGCGCCTCCAAAAAGGACACAAAATCCCGAAACGGTTGGCCAAGCTGGTGTAGTATGGGAATCACTTGAGGTCCGAAGGGACTCTCTGGAAGAAGTCCTTCAAAAAACTCTGGCAGTGGAACATGCTGAAGCAAGGTGTCCAAGTATCAAAATGCCATTTTCATAGAGAAGGAACCCTGATCTGTTATTCGATTGTATGGAGACCACCAACACAGATGCAATACGGTCTTGATTGGGTCCTTAAGAAAAAAACACTGCATGTGTGCTATTCCAAACCAGAAGTTCCGACCCTTCCTGCATGATGGCAGCCGCTGGTCGCATTTCCGAAGAATTCGCCACCTGCGAAGGCCACGTTAAAGATTTCACCCCAGAGGTTCTGTGAAACGCATACGCGACAAAGGGACCAGCCATGGACCTACTTCTTTTGCTTGTTCATCCCGCACAAACATTCCAGACATGTGTGAATTGCAATCCCGGGCCACAAACCCAGGGGCGGCTTCGTTTTGACCAGAACCCAATCAATGAACATGATTTCGATCAGAATGAACAACTCTCGGACCACAGTCTTGAAGTTCGGACTGTGCCGACCTCAAGGCGAACATTCTGAAACATCCTCCCACCGGCCTTGACTGACTGATTCAACTGATGGTTTGTTTGAAGTGGGATCACTTCGCCACACACCGGCACGTCTCGCCAAGACGACGCCGAGACGACGCGTAGACGACGCGCCTGCCGAGCTGAAGCGGATGAAGCCGGACTGACCGGGCAAAAGCTGCGAAAAGGAAAGCACCTGGTGCCGCCGGACGCGTGGCGTCGTGGTCCAATCTGATCAACACGACGCAACTCACAAAGCTGGTTGGAGGATCCCTGGTTTCAGAATGTTTCCGACTATTTCAGACCAACCCTGTCTTGCGAAGGCTTCCTAAATACTTTGCAGCTTGACGGCTCAAGTGGAAGGATGTAGACATCACACACCAGGCTCTGGCAAGATGCCATCGTTGCTTAGCAGTCTTCGTCTGTTTTTCGAGGCACGCATCGTCCCGCCATCATCACAGGCTCATCGACTTCCACAGCTTTGGAACTGCCATTGCCTAAAGCGCCCAACAAAAAGAACAAGTTCACAGTTGGGAATCGCTACTAGGAGCAAGGACGCTACTAGGAGTTAGGATGTCACGGGGATGTCACGGGAAAGCTCATATTCCGCGAGCTGACGTTCTGGGCTGCCACCAACATCCTTTGAATCAAATGTGGTGCTTATCTTTCTGCTGATGTCCCAGGTCATTTCTCCAAACTGTTGACATGTTAGTCAGAGTCTATTACCAGCCATCTCAAGGTCCTGCACAGTGAGATGGAACAACGAGAACCCATTTTCGAGTGGTTTAGAACTTGGTTGTGGAAGATGATCCCTATCAAATGTGGGTGGAATTTGTTCCACTTTCGCGGTTGGTTGGTATTGAAGATCATTGAAGGTCACCTGAGTCACCTGATCGTCTCACAACCAGGTCCTCAGCGAACCGGGTCCACTTTGCCGTCCAAGGCACTGATCCGCACCACCAGCGTGCGATCCTCCCAGGTCTCCTGCCGGGCCCTGTTGGATCGAACCACACGTGGTGAAATGGCCTGCACATGCCATGGTGACTAGGGGGCATCAACTCCTAAGGTGAAGTCTTTGGACTGCAGTGAAGTCTTTGGCTTATGTACCTGGTCATTGCAAGAGTCCGCCTTACAAGCCTTACCCATAGGGCCACAGGCTCTATTTGATACTTGCCGCAAGGCCCACTGACAACGGGACCAATCCTATCCGGCACCCCACCACTATAGGTGCAGATGCGTCTCTTGAGCAGCTGCCAATCGGTGGTGGCCTTTTCAAGGGGCCTTTCCCGGATCCCTTGGCAACCGATCGCTACGTCTCCTGGGTGATCCGCCGGACCGAGCGGCGGGCAATGTTGGCCACTCCCTCCAGGACGTTCCTCAGGTCACGCACCGCTCGGTCTCCGCCCTGTCGCACCGCTTAAAGAGAAAGCCTCCCGCTCACCCCGGCAGGATTTACAGAAGTTGGTCACGGGAATTGAGCAAATGAGGGCGGAGGTGTTGCGGACCGCGCCCCCGCGGCTGCCGTTTTCTATTGTTGTATTTGGGGCTGCTTCCACACGATGCCCTGGAAAGTCGTGATAGCTGGTTATATAGCAGCTGTTGCGATGAGCAACTGCACCAAGCAAGTGATTCTGCAGCAAAAAAATAAGGCCGTAAAAACCCTACAACAAAGACTTCGGAGGGGCCTGGGCAATGAGGGGCCCTTGTTGTTTTGTATGCATCAACTGTCACTACATAAACCTGGCCAGGTGTGTCACATCATCAATACTCTCCAGGGTTCATGGCAAGCTAATCAGTAGCGCCATGCCATCGCGCATTGCACGGATGGGAGATATGGTAGTGCCCTAGATCTGATCGGCCAGTCATGCTGACTGCTGGATATGCATTAGATCGTGTGTTCCCCTAAAGAGGAACAAACGCCAGCTCCTGAGCAGTCCAACCATGTTTGTAGGAAGCACGTATGTAAAGGCATCCAGCATCCCAGGTCTTTTTGTCGGGTCCAAAAGACTAAACATGAAACCAAATGCGATGGAATATGCTGAAAGCCCTTCTACACAACATATGCGAAGCCTCCACAGGTCGTCGGTCGTCCTTGTGCTAGTCTGTCTTGCGCAGGTCGTTCTTCTCTCAAAAACGTTGATTGAAATCCATCTGAACCCCATGAACCATCCATGAACCATCCATGAACCATCCAAACACATGCCAAACACCATTTGGCCCAACTCTGAAGATGGTCGAATTGATTCAGACTTGGTCCCTCCATTTGGCAAAGCCTGGGTCCTTCGAGCCAAGCTGCGATGATGTCCTGGGGTCCTGGGTCCTTCGGTCCTTCGGTGAAGACTTTTACTCTGCAATCTCATGGTCATCCTTTGAACTTATTTTTTCTTTTTTCAGACCTTTTCTTCTCCTTTACAAACAAATCTGGAGGTGCATGAAACATACGCGTGAAGCTGAATGGCCAACATGTGCGTCGTGTTCTGCAGTGAGGAGTAAGCCTTGCAGGAAGTGTAAGAAGTCCGGAAAAGGCTCCCAACTGCTTTCGGACCGATCAAATGGTTTTGAAGGTTCTCCTTCAGCCCTCTCTTTGCACCTGGCTGTGCCCTTGCTTCAACTCTTCCCTCTGGGAACCAGCACTAGCAGGAAGTGTCCCAAATGGTTAGCTGCCATGGTCATCTCAAAGCCATCCTGGCAAACGCTGAGGTGGCATCATCCATCCAGGACTATCCGATCTTTGCATAGCAGAAAACTACCCCTTAGACCAACACCTGTTACCTTGGCAGTGACCCCGAACAGGGCCGGCCACTCGATTCCCTTGCCTCAGTCAGCTCCCGGCAACGACGCATCACGCCAGCCTAAGGATAAATCTCGCGCGGCGGATGCACGGCACTTCTGCAAGACTTCGGTGCGCATGTTCAATGTCTAGCAAGAGGAATAAAATACAGAAGCCAAAACCACACACAACTCAAAAAGAAATAGATAATTGCTTCCCAGAGTCCAATGTTGGTTCAAGTGTCAAACACAAAACTTCTGAGTACAGGAAATCCCAGGCGCATTGAGGACCAGCACATCCACCTCCAAAAAGCAACAGAATGACAGCGACAAGTGCCAACACAGAAGTGACAGTGAACTCTACTCACTTCGCTGAGCTGTCTGGGAACAAGAAGACCAAATCTCAAGCTATTCCTAACTGCAAGGTGAGTAGAGATGTTGCATTAGCGAAGACAAAAGCTTTCAGGTATCGTTACTCTAGAAATGCCAAGATTCTTACGTAAGAGGTCGATTGACCCTGCTTTCATGCGAAACTTGCCCGCGCACATTTTGCTGCTGAACACTGAAGAGTATCAGCACCTCTCCTATGGCAAGACTTTATGCTTTGGAGAGTAAGCTGCTTGTAAGATCCCAACTCGATGTCTGGCATCCATGTTTCTCGCTCGTCTCTACATCGGGCAAGCACTGCAAGTGACGCCTGACACCTTCAGCTTGCAGCCAGGAGCCAGGTACAAAGAACTCTTTCTAACTACTGGCATTACTTCAAGCATGGCTCCAAGGCTCCAAGGTCTTGCTACGGTCGCAAGGGAAGCATCACACAAAAGAACACCCCTGGGATGCACCCTGGGGCGCCTCAGACCTTGCTTGCTTCTTTCAGAATTCGTTGCACAAAGAAAGAGGCATGCAGAGGAATGTCGTCTAGGCTCAACTGTGCACTGGCAATCTCGGCGCTTCCATGTAGTTCTGTACATGTCATGGAGCTGTGCCACTGTGCAAGTCCACATTGCCATCCCTCGGACTAAGTGGTGACTAGTAGACAATGCGCAACCAGGCTTTCTCGGACCCTGTTGAGCACGACATCCTACATACATCACTGCCAGAATCTGATAGGAACAAAGCTTGGGCCGCCAAGTGAGTAGAAGGACTGGTGCCACTGCGTCGTTCCGCGCTGAGTAGACGAATGCGTCTTGAGTGAGCTTGAAAGCATTTCTTGATTCACATTCACACAGCAGAACCCAGTCTGCTTCCACTTCTACATGGCTCATTCTACGTGGCTCTTCTACATGGCCACTTGTAGGAAATCTGGCTAAACCAACTGCAGGCTTCCTGTGCAAATGGACAAGGCAAAACTTTGTCAGACGTCTTCCTTGCAGAAGTCTTGCACTGATCTTGTGCCAAATAATATTGACTTTATTGTCTGAACATCTTTCCTTCTTGCAAGTGGCAATGTGTCTTCCTTTTAGAAAGTTGAGTGCGTCTAGGCAATCTTAAGCAAGCACTGGGACAAGGCCATGCAAGTCCTTTTGACATATTCTTGCTATGTTCGCTTCAAAGCTGGCTCAGTGAGTGCGGGAAGAACTTGTTAGGCTCCGTGGGAAGGGACATATGCACACTAGTGTTTGGAACTTGTTGACGGCCAAAGCGAGGAGGCTCTTTCGGGATGGGAGGCACCTTGGCAGGAAGTCTTGATTGACTTTATGCTTTGCAATTGCTGCCCTCTTGATATTTGCTGTGTATCTTTGTATGTTCCATCAAACATGTTGTGCGGGTGCTTCTGTACAGTATCTGCACCTTCTTTTGGCACTTGACAAATGCTGCTTGTTGGTGATGAGAGGCAGCTTTGCGGAAAGTCTTACGCCGGATCCTGCACCAAGCATGGACTGTGTTTTTTCGGGCGCTTACTGCGGCATCTGAAGCAAGCACTGGGACAAGGCCGTGCAAGTCCTTTTGACACATTCTTGCTATGCTCGCTTTAAAGCTGACTCCACAAGTGCAGGAAGTATTTGTTGGGCTCCGTTTGAAGGGACATGCGCACACTAGTGTTTGGAACTTGTTGACGGCCAGAAGGAGGAGGCTCTTTCGGGATGGGAGGCAGCTTGGTAGGAAGTCTTGATTGACTTTATACTTTGCAATCTCTGCCCCTGCCCTCTTGATATTTGCAGTGTACAGTGTCTTCCATCAAACATATTGTGCCGGTGCTCCTGTGACACGTGTGCAATCTCAAGCAAGCTTGGGGCTGCACCCACATGATCCGAGCACGAAAGGCATCAGCAGGGCTTCATCTGCATCTGTTACTTCAGAGTGTCAAGGCATGCAAGCTCAATTGACACCTTGCTATTAGAGTTAGACAAGTTGATGTACTGGCACGGAAATAGCAATCAAATGCTGTTAGTGAAGAAAATAGTTCAAGAAAGCTAGCTTGGGACAAACGAGACAAGAAATATCAGGACCCAACTGATTAGACCATGCGCAACCAGGCTTTCTCGGCACATGTTGGAGGTTAGATAAAACTCTCCACCTACTCCGTTGAGCACGACATCCTACATACATCACTGCCAGAATCTGATAGGAACCAAGCTTGGGCCGCCAAGTGAGTAGAAGGACTGGTGCCACTGCGTCGTTCCGCGCTGAGTAGACGAATGCGCCTTGAGTGAGCTTGAAAGCATTTCTTGATTCACATTCACACAGCAGAACCCAGTCTGCTTCCACTTCTACATGGCTCATTCTACGCTCTTCTACATGGCCACTTGTAGGAAATCTGGCTAAACCAACTGCAGGCTTCCTGTGCAAATGGACAAGGCAAAACTTTGTCAGACGTCTTCCTTGCAGAAGTCTTGCACTGATCTGACACCAAAAGTAGTTCCTTCCTTTATGCAAACGGCTGGGTCTTTTCCATTGAACTTGTGCCAGTGCTGCTGCAACATCTAGGCAGTCTCAAGCAAGTCACGGGTTGCAACCCCACGATCCAAGCAGGAAAGAGGTCAGTAGGCCTTCATCTGCGCTACCTCGTAGTGTCAAGGCCCCGCAAGTTCCTTTGCCTTGTTGCTAGATCCGGGTTCTTTGCACAAGAACTGTTTGTTGTTCTCGGGAAAGAACATGCAAATGCTGCGGGTTAGTTGTGAAAATGGTTCAAGGCTAGCTTGAGACAGGGAAAAATACTGTATCGAGCAACGTTCCACCTGACCTTTGGGCATGCCTCTATTTCCGGGCTTGCTCTCAAAACAAAAGCTTGGAGATACAGAATTGTGGGAACAACCTTTGCAGCTATGGAATCAATGCAACAGTGCGAGCAACATTGTCGTACACTGTTCCTCGTGCTGTTTGGTGGTGTGAGTTACCAAATCAGCTCTTCATGGGAGAACCTTGGCACCAAAGAGTGCGAAGCTTGTGCAGCTTGCAAAACTGCAAGCTGTGAAACTGTTTGTCTTCTAGGTCGACTTCCAGTGCAAAAAGTTGCTGCCAGTGGCTCAAAACTATGGACGAATACCATGCAGAATCTGCAGAGAAGTTCTAGTCCAAGGCCGTTCTGCCCAAAATGAAAGCAGCTGAATCAGGATCAACCAGGCTTCAAAAACAGGTCTAGAATGCCCGAACCTGCCAACACAATGTCTGGTATGCGTCTTTCTGGGCGCCAGGTCGACTCTGAATTATGTTGATAGCATTCACTGACTTCATGCAGTCATTGCTGCAAAGCAAAGCCCTGTCCGCATCAGCATCCGCATGGCCTGCATGGCCTTGTCTGAGTCTCACCCCTGCACCACGACTGTGCTCCATTCGCGCCGGAATCGGACTGTGCTGGTCGAATCAGAGCCGCTCTGTTCGAGAAGGCTTTTAGGCGGAGTCAGTGTGAACAAATCCTGCTGTCTTCTTGGTCGGCTTTGCACTTTCAGAGCTTCTCACAGTACTTCACGGTCACCCGCCAAAGAGTACAAATATGCTCAATGAATTCATTCCAAGGCTTCTACGTAAAACACGCTACCAGCTCGAAATCCCTTCATGGAGTCATGGAGTCATGGACATATGTGACATATCTTAAAATGCCACAACATACCAGAACTCAATGACTGGTGAAAGAATGGAGATCATGCGTCAGTGCTTCAGAACTGATTCAATTCTCAATGAGCTGGAAAGAATAAGTTGACTCCAGGCAAAGGATTGCAAAGCACAGCCATGTCAGCATCAACATCTGCACGGCCCAGTCTGAGTCTTTTCGCACATAGGCCAGGACTTGATATGCATTCCCGCCAAGCGCTGCCTTGTGGGGTCAAAGTCAGCAGTGCTGGTGAGTCATATTGGCTCTGACTCTTGGATGAAAGGCAATGCACACCAACACGGTGCGAACTGAACTAAGTGAAATTCTATGCAATTCCAAGGTGGCTGCCTGCTTGTCACAGGAAGTCTCTTTGATCAATAAACTCCGACTCAGGTCGACAAGGCCAAAGCCAGGTTTCCAGGGCTGGATGCGGAGCCATAGGACACCAGCAGCGTCACTTCATCGCAAATCACAGTTGTTGAAATGCTCCTTTCCGAAAGGGGAACCACACTAACCTGGCGAGCCTGGCGAACCAGCACCCGTGCATGTCGGCGTCGTGACGTCGTACTCTGGTCTGCCAGCTCTGGTCTTATGGGTCGTGGATGAACGATTGCTTATAGTGCTTGTACTGGCTCAGCTCAACTCCTGAACAATCAGAACAAAGGAAGTAGTATTTGCGACATCAAGAAGAAACCCACTGCCAGCACTTGCATCCAGCAAGCACAACCAAAGGGACTTTGGCATTCATATCCTGCATTTTGGAGCTCCACCATGAGATAGTGAGACTTAGTGAAGTTGTTGGTTTCCTCCACGCCGCTCTTTGGGCCATTTTGTTCGCTGGATTCATCGGGTGCGAGTGGATCTTAATCAGCGAAGTTTGAAGCTATCACTGACGGTCCATAAGCGGCGTAGCGTCGGAACGGAAACCGCACCTTTTCTAGTCGCTTGATCCTTGAGCCAAAGTACATATGGTATATATATATGTACAAGTTGCACTGTACATGTCGCTGCACTTCCATTCGCACCCCCCATGTGAACGGCAACAATATGTTCCGATCACACGCGAAAATTTAGGGATGTAAGTGCTACAAAAGAAATTGTATGATTTGCCGCGAGACTCATATGAGGCTCATACTACGAAACATGCTGGACTAAAGCGGACTTTTACATATAAAGTGTGCAACTATGGCTCAGAACCTTTGAAAAAATCGAATTGAACAAGTGAGACAGTCACGAGGCCTCGCTCAGTATCCACTCAAAAGAGCATCGC